AGTTAATGAATGAACCAAGTGTGATAGCAACGTCTAGGCCTGGGATTACATTTAATTCCAACTTTGGCTCTCCTAAACTTTCTATCCCTTTACCTTTTCCTCAACGATTTGCGAAGAAGAGGGAGATTGAGGAACATGAGACGGTGACCTTAACGGAAGAGAGTAGTGCGATCCTCCAACGCACGATTCCTCCGAAGCTTAAGGACCCCGGGAGCTTTACGATTCCTTGCACTATTGGGAATATGTTCTTTAGCAAAGCTTTATGTGATCTTGGTGCTAGTATTAATCTCATGCCTTTGTCAATTTTCAGGAAGCTCGGATTGGGAGAAGTGAAGCCATCTACAATGACTTTGAAATTGGCGGATCGTTCGATAACATGTCCGAAGGGGATTGTTGAGGATGTGCATGTCAAGATTGATAACTTCACTTTTCCTGTTGATTTTGTTGTATTGGACATGGAGGAAGATAGTGACGTGCCATTGATTCTAGGGCGTCCATTTTTAGCAACAGGAGATGCGTTGATTGACGTCAAGAAGGGAGAAATTACTTTGCGTGTTAATGATAAATATGTGTTATTTTCAATACATAAGCCTCTATTTCATGATAATAATGTGCATACTAACTTTATTGACACTATTAATTCAGGTGATGTGATCAAGTTGGAAGATATGATGAACTCGGAGAGCAAAACGGTAAAAATCGGAGTTGAAAATGAGTCGCGCAGAGCTGACACGGGCAGTGACACGGGCATTATGCCCGTGTCAGGTGACCGTGTCAGAAACCTGGGAGAAACTCAGAATTTTCAAATGCGACACGGACGGCGACACGGCCCGTGTCAGGTGCCCGTGTCAGGTGCCCAGGTACGGCTTTTGGAGCACGGACGACGACACGACCCGGACCATCAAGCACGGCCCGTGTCGGAGGTCGTGTCAGGTGTACTGTCTACCCCTTTTTCAGCCGAATCAAGTTCTTCAAAGCCCGATGCACCGATTATGAACCTCAAACCATTGCCAAATCATCTGACATATGCATACTTGGGTGATAATTGCACATATCCGGTAATTGTATCATCTTCTCTAACTTCTGATCAATTAGATAGATTGTTGAAGGTGTTGCATACATATAAGTCGACTATAGGTTGGTCTACGTCTGATCTTAAAGGTATTAGTCCATCACTTTGCATGCATAAAATAAGATTAGAGGAAGATTATAGACCATCTGTGCAAAATCAACGACTCTTTAACACCGTTATGAAAGAAGTTGTGAGGTTAGAAGTACTTAAATGGTTGGATGTCGGGATTATATTTTCTATTTCTAATAATGAGTGGATGAGTCTAGTGCAAGCGGTGCCGAAAAATGGAGGAATGACAGTACTGACAGAGGAAAAAGAAGAATTGATTGCACGAGATGAAGCGACATTTTCAGTCCATGGACAGTCCTACATTGATTTGAAGAACTCTTGATCGAACTTCATAGGCGTCTGGCTGAAGACGTTAAACTTAGCGCTTGTTGGGAGGCAACCCAATGTTTACTGCTTTATTTTTTTTTAGTTAGTTTTACTTTTGTTTGTTTGATATTTTGTTTTTCTTCCTTGCAGAACATTCCATGGAGAGATTTACATGACGAAGGACATGCTTCGAGATCTATACTAATAGTTGTCATCTCTTCAATGATGTTTTGTAAGTTTTCTCTATTTTACTTTTATTGAAATTCTATTCTTCCCTTTTGTGCTTCATATAATTTCATTCAAGTTTGGGGGGGAGATGTGATATTTTGATTTGAGAATTTTAGAGAGAAGATAACAAGATATCTTTCATTATAGGAAAGAAGAAAGGAAAAAAAACTAGGAATCTCGTCGATCTTTCAATCTCCTTGATCCCTTTGTGGTTGATCTTCTTTTGCCTTCCAATTGCTCCTCTTGTGTGTTTCCAAGCCTCTCTAACGTGTTCCCCTCTTTTTGGCCTCTCAAACTAGGTTAAATATGCTTCCTCTTGTGTCCAAAAACCTCTCCTAGTCAAATTAGGCAAGTATTAAAATTCTGTTCCAGCGCGCGACACGGCCTGACACGCCCGTGTCACAGCCCGTGTCACGGGTCGTGTCAGGTATCAAGCCTCGGAATTCCCCTGTTCATGTGACACGGCCACCTGACACGGACATGGTGCCCGTGTCACCGTCCGTGTCACATCCCAGCACTCTCGTTTTTGTCCGTTTCACTCGTTTCTTCCATATTTCTCATCCGTGCATCAATCCATCATCATCTCGGGGGTCCTAGGTACTCACCATGCGCCTCCAATAGCCACAAGCTCTACAAATATGTGAAAATATCTACAAAACAAGCACGTGTAATACCTTTCCAACAAATAGAGAATTAAAGCACAAATATGCGATTTGTACACTACTAATGCAATGACTAAGCTCTAGATACTCAATAAATATGGTGTAAAATCACACATGAACACTAATGTTATTAAAAATTGTAGTCCACTTTTTTTCTTAAATCCGCTCATTTTTAACTCGATAATAAACTTTAAAATACAAAATAATATTCTTAATTAAATTTGAAATTCATAAATAACAAATTGAACGGAAAAAGTCGGATTCTGTTCGAGCAATTCATTGAGTCCGACTAATTTCGTATGATTAGATCGAATTTTATGACAAGATTGTTTGACACTTTTCTCAGAGTTATATGATTTGTGTGAATATTATAGTAGGAAAAACATTCAAGCTCATGTTTAATTGAAGTATTAGTGACACTTTCCAAATGCTATGCCACATTATAAATAAACAATTCAATAACAATCAACGCATATGTACTTGGTCTAAAGGTAATCACAAACATAAGTTAAAATTAACAATTCAATAACAATCAACGTATATGTACTTGGTCTAAAGTCAATCACAAACATAAATTAAAATTACCAATTCAATAACAATCAACGTATATGTACTTGGCCATCTAATTTATAACATAATCAATTCTAATCTATAATACAATAATTTCTACCCACTAACAAAATAGTAATAAATTTTAATTCATAAGACAATCAATTCTAATATATAATACAATAATTTCTAATTTCTAACATGATAGTAATAAATTCTAATTTATAAGATAATCAATTCCAATATATAACATAATAATTTAAAGTAATATATTTTTTTCAAACTAGTATCATTTCTAATTTATAATAATATAATTTATACTAATTAAGTAATTATATTAATAAAGTAATTATACTAATATCATTTTTTAACTGTATTTGTTGTTAGTTCATTTTTTTCTATTATAATTAATTATATCTTATACTATTATAATTTATAATAATTAAACTAATTAATAATATAATTTTTTATATACTAATATAATTTATACTAATATACTTTTTTTCATTATAATTAATTATATTTTATACTATCATAATTTATAATAATTATATTAATATAATATATATTATATAATATATTAACTTTATTAATATATATTTATATAAAATATATATTAATATTATTAAATTATACATATTCATATATATGAATGTATAATAATATATATGAAAATATTAATATATATAATTTAATATATATTAATTTAAATTATTAATATATTTTAATTATTAATCAAACTTAATTATTAATTTTTTTCATTTATTATAAAATATATAATAATATATATGAAATTATTTAAATATATTTTTTATATTTCAACATTTTTTAATTAAAAATAATTAAAAACCACGAAAATTAAAAAAAAATACAAATTAAATTATATGTACAAATAGTTAGAAATGCAAATAGAATTTATTATTATTTTGTTAGAGGTTAGAAATTATTGTATTATAGATCTGAATTGATTATGTTATAAATTAGAATTTATTACTATTATGTTAGAAGTTAGAAATTATTATGACATACATAGTGAAAGTGTGTTAAAGAATGGATCATTTAGTTCCACATTGATTTTGAAAGCAAAAAAGAATGCAAAAAGTAGTTATAAAGGTTTGAGACAATCCTACATCGATTACAAACACAATAATAAAGGCCAAGAGTGGCTATAAAAGGTTGGGAGAGTGAAAACTTTGATTTGCAATTATCCCACATTGAATGAGAAAGTTCAATGTAAGGCAATGAATAGCTATATATGTTGTAGCAACTTGCCTTAATAACTATTAATTGGTTTCTCTAATAATTAATAGTAGTAAAAAAATTATATATTTTTTAAATATTTAATTTATAAATATAAAAAAAAAAAATTGCCCCGGCCGCGCGCGGCCGAGCCAGTTGCGGCCGCGTTGCAGCCGCAATCAGCGACCGGCCGGTTCTAAAAAAAAAATAAATTTTTGGTTCTAGTGCGGCCGGTTTAGGGCCGGTTTGATCGACCGACCGCCGCATGGACCGGTCTTGTTGGATAGCATTTTTTTGCCGGAATTATTTGGAGGTGTTTTCGGAGTTTTTCGGTGCTCGGTTCGGCCGATAAATAGGTTAGAAGGTGGGACATTATTTTTAAAAAAAAATAAGAATAAAGGGCAAAATTGTCATTTTAGGGTGCGGTATTAGTAAAATGAGTGCGGTATTTAGCAATTCAGTATTTGTATTCAACATTTGTGGGAACTTTTATATTCTTCTGCTGGAAGTTGTGTATTTTTGTTTTTTTTAGGTTAATTCTAGGCTACTGTAAGTGTAGTCCTCCCAACTAGACTTAGTTTAGTAGCTGATTTATTCGGATATTTAGTTGTTGTCCAGTTTGTATATTTGTTATTATTTATAAATTTTATTGTAAAAAAAAAAAAAAAGAAAAATAGAACAAGGTATAAGATCTGGATTTGTTGTTGCATCAACTCAACCTTACCTAGTTGAGATAGAGATTGTGAGAAACTTATTTGTAAAAGTTGTGACTAAATGAGGCGGGAAATTATTCTTTTCGAAACGATAGAGATAAATATATAGAACTCAAATAAATAGTTCTTACAAATGATTCCCCGCATTGCACACAACCATACTTATGACTCCAAGCTGGTTACATGAACCATTACAAAACAAAGAAATTGCCCTAAAATAAATTAAAAAAAAATAAATTAGTTGCATCCTTCTACCTTGGCATTTCTCCACCTTGCACAACTTTCCCCACCAGTGTTAAAACGAGTAGATATCTTCTTTGAGTCCGTCCAAGTCCATCTGTGCCAGTGTCCAGACTGTTTTGGCTCGAGGGAATTCAAAGAATAAATGCTCCAAAGTCTCATGATATCTTTTTTGTAGACTGCACTTAGTATAAAGAATGTTTGAATAACATATTTTTTATAACAAGTGTTTTAATTTGTTTTTAATTATAAGTTTCCAGCTACAAACTCTAACCACCCGTCTCGAGTGGTTGGTTTCACCATGTACATGTTTTCTATATTTTTTACTCTTTTAATAAATATATAATTAGTTAAAATAAACTACAAGTCAACCGTTAAAAAGTTGAGTAATTAAAAAAATAACAGAGGTTAGTAATCAATAAAAACAAAAAATAAACCTTTTATATATAATAAAATCAATATGTACACAATTGTTTTAAAAAAACTTATAAACTTTGTATTCGTAAAGATTTACTGGGACTTTAAGAATCCTATTATATTTAATTTGGACTTTCTAGGACTGTTAGAAATATTGAGGTACTTATTTGAGATTCAAAAACGTCTAAGCAAGTCACTAGATATTTAATTTATTTGACACTGAAATTATTTCGACTTTTTAAGATTTGATGAGATTTTAGAAACAAAAACGAAGAAATCTAACTACAATTTCTATTCCCAATTTAAGATTTCCAAGATTCCTATTGAATCTCAAAATCTTAAAAACTTTAAATCATAATAAATTTAAAAAATAATTGTTAAAATCATCTCTTAAAATAGAAGAATTTATAATTGGATGGACAATTTACACATATTATTGAGGAGACCATGTTGTAATTGGGCCTCAGTAATGGACAGCACTGATTTGGGCCTAACAAACATTGGTCAAACCAAGCTAATAGTTGGGCCGGGAGTCACAACCCACTAAGAGTCCGCCCGTCGTCGTAGAAGAACCCATCCGCCGTGGTTGAGGTGCACACTGATCTTGCTCGGGAGCTTGGTGGAGGTTCTCGTTTTCTCCATCAAATTTACACCTTTTTTCCATCTAATTTTCAATAGCTTTCACTATTTATCCATATTCATTCCTTTATTTTCGGCGGTGGCGACCACTCGTCTGTGCATCTAGGGTTTTTTCTTCGAATTAGGGTTTCCCGTTAATCTGTGCAGCCATGTCTGTGACGGCGGGCGTCAGCGACACGGTAATCGCAATCAGGGACAAGCTGAGGGGAAAAATCGGGCAGACGAAGGTAAAGCGTTACTGGCCCGGAAAGGCGCCCGAGTGGGCGGACGACAATGACGAAGCTGGCGACATCCGCACGTCGGGCCTCGAGAAGGCCTTCCCCAGACACGAAGGCCCCGACGCCGGCGTTGTCCGTAAGGACGACCCCAGGCTGCGCCGCCTGGCGCAGAGCAGGGCCGAGAACCGAGACGAGGTCCGGGAGGACCACCGGCGGATCCGGCAGGCGGAAATCGTGTCAACGGCGGAGGAGGAGACCCAGCGGCTGGATGGCATGGACATAGAGGAGGAGGAGGAGGATGTCCTAGAGGAGCGGAGGCGGAGGATCCGGGAGAAGCTCCTCCAGCAGAGGCAGCAGGAGGAGGCGGAGCTCTCGCCGGAGGAGGAAGAGGAGGTCGAAGAGGAAGAGGAGGAGGAGGAATCCGAGTACGAGACAGACTCCGATGAGGAAATGCCCGGCATAGCCATGGTGAAGCCTGTTTTCGTCCCGAAATCAGAGAGGGACACCATAGCCGAGCGAGAGCGGCTCAAGGCCGAGGAGAAGGCGCTGGAGGAGGCCGTGCAGAAGAGGCTGGAAGAGAGAAGGAAGGAGACCAAAGAGATTGTCGTGGAGAAGATCAAAGAGGATCTCGAGATCCAGAAGAATCTTGAGCTGGAAGCTAATGTTTCCGATGTGGACACGGATGACGATGTGAATGAGGCTGATGAGTACGAAGCCTGGAAGGCCCGGGAGATTGCTAGGATCAAGAGGGACAGAGAGGATCGGGAGGCCATGCTTAAGGAGAAGGAGGAAATAGATAAGGTGAGGAACATGACTGAGGAGGAGAGGAGGGAATGGGAGAGGAAGAACCCGAAACCCAGCAAGCAGACCAAACAGAAGTGGAAGTTCATGCAGAAGTACTACCACAAAGGTGCCTTCTTCCAGACGAACCCAGACGATCACGCGGGGACTGCTGGTGCTGACGGCATCTACACGCGCGACTTCTCGGCCCCAACTGGTGAGGATAATATGGATAAGTCGATTTTGCCCAAGGTTATGCAGGTGAAGCACTTTGGCCGGAGTGGAAGGACGAAGTGGACTCATCTTGTCGAGGAGGACACGACCGATTGGAATAATCCGTAAGTGCTTGTTCTTTGAAATTCTTTCGTGGTAAATGGTTTGTGGTATAAAAGCATGTAGACAGCACCGGAAACCTATATACATTTAATGTATCATAAGAAGTTGAAAATGTAGTTTGCATGTGGATAATCTCATATTCTCTGTGTATGAAACTAGGGTTGTTCCTTGCAGTCTTTTGTCTACTCTGCTTTAGGAGTTTGCTTTATGATCAAGAAGCTTATAAATGTCCAAAAGAGGTTTTGAAATGGGACCTTTTGAATAATGCTTGAACTTAAGTAAATGAATATAGAAGGTTTGACCTAGTGTGCAGCTTAAAAGCTTGTTAATACTGAATTCACTGCTTAGTTTTTCCACTTCAAATTACGGCACTCTGATTTTAGCTACCGGGAAATGAATTGTTTTGTGTATAAAACTCTATAAATCATAGGTGTATGATATTTTGTGTATATATTTTCAACTCTATATATATCAGTCGTAATCTTGAACTTAAATGTGCATCATCAAGTAGAAGCTTGCAGTGGAGTCTTGAGATGTATGAAAATGTTTCATACTTTTAGTATGTTAATTTGTATTTTATGTTGTAGCATTACTATTAGCATTTCTTTAGAAAAAATTATGTGCATATACTGTTGTCAGAGCACATTGTTTCAGCATTTCCTGCCTTGAGGATATAGAAATGGTATATTGTTTGTAAAACTTTTTCTTAGAAATTACCGTTCGATAGCCGCAACTGAGGCTGATTAATTACTGTATGAAATGCAGATGGACCTACAATGATCCTCTTCGTGATAAGTACAATAAGAAGATGGCTGGGATGGATGCACCCATAGCAAGACCTAAAGGGAGCAAAAAGTTGAAAGATTGGGAATCACGTTAAACGTCATATGGTGTGAAGATGGATGTATACCAAAAAGAGAACCAACTACTCTGCAGGAGAAGACAGGGAGTTGATCGTGCAAGCTGATCTATGCATATCATGTGTATCAATAACTTACAAGTCCTAATCTCCATGCTCTTTGAAGGCTGTATGTTCTGTATTAATGACGTCTCGTCTGAACTGGTTTAGAGTCGATCTTTTGATGGATGGCCCTGATATATGTTTTTCTGCTGTTTTATGCATTTGTATTCTATGTTCGGCAGTTTGATTTACTTGTTTTTTTTCAACTGTGTTACATGATATCTCGAATTATAAAGGAATGATGATATTGGCCTAAAGGACAATGGTGGCTGCAGCATAGCTTTATTGTTCTTGAAATGTTATTGGTTTTATATTATTTACCAGTAATATTTTGCGTGGTGCATTTTGGTTGGTTGGTTGGTTGGTACAGGGGTTGTGTTTGGGTGGTGCCGAGTGTCGGATCATGGGCTGTTGTCCGGGGTGATCCGTTTGGAAGGAAGGTTACCTTGTTGCTTCGGCCAAGATAGTCATAGCCTGCTGAGTTAAGGAGTTTGGAGTTTCTAAATTCGGGTACAAGCTTTGATTTTGTCTTTCATGGGGTTATCTTCGGCTGTTGTTTTTTCTAAGGTGGTCAGGTTTTCGAGGTCAGTATTGAGGAGGGCTTTATTGTAGCGAATATGTGTGTGTTGGGTTTTTTGTGTTTCACTTTTAGTTTATTGTATTTCAGATGCGTTCGGTTTCTATTTTCCTAGTTTCCGGTATGGAGATTGTATTTCCTTTTGGTCGATGGTGTAATTCCGAGGAGGTGGATCCAGTATTAATGTTGGCTTAAGTAGTGTCCGTTGACACCTCAGGTGTCCTCATTTTGAGTTTTTTAAGTTATTAATATATTTATCGTTTGAGAAAAAAAGACCACAATGCATTTAGAATATTTTTTTTATATAAATTAATTGTTTGTATATATATTAATATTATATGAATAATGCTATATATATATATATATAGTTGTAGGCAAAAATTTTAATAAAATTATTTTAGTTTTCTCTTCATTTTTTATTACAAACGTATATCATTAATATATTTTTTTTCTTTTACATTAATCCACCATTTGTTATGTTTTCAACCCATTTTTTAGTTACTTATGACAGAAAACCATTACAATTATTTTAATTAAGTGTAATTATATATTTGTGTACGATTATATTATATGATAGTTAATACTAATATAAACTAATAATAATTTCACACTAAATATTATATAGAAATTAAGTAAGTACAAAGAAATATATTTTTTTTCTTCAAGCTCTTTATTATAAAATCAATATTATATATATTTTTTTACCTTATGATCGATTTTCATTTAAAAAAATAACTAATTAGTTTTAATAGCATAGTCAAACTACTTTAAAATTTTATAAACAATTGTTACTATAATTATAATAACAATAAAATTTTCAACTAAATTATAAAAATTACATTATCTACAAACGTTTTCAGTCGATACAATGATTCATATATATACTTGAATAATTTCTATTTATACTGTTTTAGTTTTTGTAACGAACAAGTCTTAAAAATGTGATATATTCGTTATCTTAATTATAATTCTATTATTATATTCACACATATTACTTGTAATATTTTATTTAAATCTGCGCATGTGCACAAATGATTACTAGCTTAATATAATGGATGTGGATGACATAAATAATGTGTATGGGTATGAAATTCCTGTTTTATATAAATTCAAAACGCGATGAGTGGCAGCTTCGCACGCCTCAGAATCTCATGTGACAAAATATAATATTTGTAATATGACTTGGATGGAAATTACTAATTTTTTATACCTAACTGCTTAAGTTTGGATTGTCATATATTCAGATATTTAATATATTTAAACTATTCCATATAAATCTATTTGTTATCTTATTCCTATAATATGCATATTATCTTATTTCTCAAATTTTGTGCTTTGTCCATATTATTTTCGTATGTGTTTTAAATATAAATATTATAAACAAAACTAATGATGTACATAAATTAGTTTTTAGAATTTAAAATAATATTGTTAATTTACTTAGTTTATAAATTATTATATATTTTTCTTTATTTATCTTTTCCAATTTCGAAAAAATATATAAATATTGTTTTTTATTTTTTTTGTATATTTAATTATTTTATCAAATACTTGTGTAGTACACGAGTATTGTACTAGGGTTAATTTTAAAGTTGATGTTATATGTGTCTTGCCACTGTATTATGTCAAAAAATATGTTAGTAATTATATTATTAAAAAAAGTAGTTTAATATTAAAGAGATAATGCCAAAAGAAAAAAAAAAGAGCTCAACGAAATAAGTTCTCCTTGGGACAATCCACGCCAAAACGGGTCAAACTATAGACTATAGTACTATCCACTTCAAATGAAAAGCATAAAAAACGACTGTTTCATCCTTGCTTTACGAGCATAATTCGACTTCCTTTTCAACGAATCAAACCCTAGAAAATCCATAAAAGGAACAAATCCTAGATAAATCCAACTAACAATTTGTCTGTCAGACCCACATAAGCTACACAGTCATATACGAGCATAATTGTTCGTACCTGCAGATTTGCTGCCCACATAGATGGAGCACGAAGGGCAGCACGAACAAGACGACGACGTTTACGGCGGCGACCTGCCTGAGGAGGTTTACATGGAGTCAGATTTCGACCCTTCTGCTGATGCGGAAGCGTATGCAACGGATGACTCCAAAGGCAAGGTATGCTACTTATATCCAATTCATTTCGATGTGCGTGTAGAAATATGAAAAGGAGTCGATATGTATGAGTGCTAAATTCAAAATTCAATTGATAAAGAACGCTTATGGGGCGTTGTGGTTGATCTTGTCGTTTTTTTTTTCTTTTTTTTTTTTAAAAAAAAAANAGTATGAAGAAAAGATTGCAAGAGATTGAAGAGGAAGCAGGTGCTCTACGGGGATTGCAGGCCAAGGTTGAGAAGGAGATGGGCGCAACTCAAGGTTTTTCTTCTGCATACTCTGGGCACATGAACTTGTGATCATCTTGTCGTCCTTTTTTTGTTTTTTCAAAAGACATGGTTCGGACAAGTTTGAAATTTTTTGTTTTTTCGAAAGACATGGTTCGGACAAGTTTGAAACTGTGGATACAAAGTTGTAGTGTGTTTCCAGGTTAAACGACATACTTTTTCTGTAATATTTGCAAGAATTCGAATAGCGGAAGGTATATATTACTTGATGTCGAATATTGAAACTGGCTACATGTATTTAAATGCAGGAATCTTATTTTTGAAAAAAAAAAATTAAAATAAAATTGATTGTGCATTGCCATTTGTTATAACAGAACACTTATTTTATCTCACCCTGCAGTCTTGCATGTTATGGTTTAAATCTTTTGAGTTCTGTGTTGCATTGGTTTCAAAACGTATGAACTTATGTTATGGTGATATCTTAGTAGTGTTAAGTACTTTGCCAAGCAAGATGGCTGGTAAGCGTTGTATCACAAACTGCATTGAGCTTTTGCTATGCTGGACAGCATATTAATTACTTTGGGGGATTGAAGAGCTAGTAACACAAAGGTACTGTAGAAAATGGATAGAGGCCTCTAACTTGAATCTGGATAATGTTCAGTATTGCTTATCCTTTTCAACTTAAGCAAAAGGTTACAGAGTTGTAAATGTCAACATTGAGAAAATTACGTGAATTTGTTAAGTTCAACTGTAAGTTAATTTATGTAAAGGTATTACAACATGAGGAATATTTTTTTTTTCTTTCATATGGTTGTGAGCTGAAGTAAACTTGAAATGAAATATGAAAAGTGAGGCCTCAACCTAAATAGAGTACTATCTGTTTCTACCAATAGCTGATGGCAGATTTGTTTGGCCTATTCACCAAATTTGAAGAACCCCGAAGGTAATTTAAGTTTTGTTTAAATCGTTAAAGAGTCAACTTCCAGATTTCCAGTGTTTTCTGCTTTAACTTTTCGGTGCTTTATTATCCACTAAGCTCATCTTGAGGACCAAAAAAGGTTAATAGCCTATGCTCATGTATACTTGCACTTATCACTCACATACAAATCAAGGAGTCAAAGGATAGCTGAATGTGTGTGATTACTTGTAAGCTATTGTAGCTGATGGCAGATTTGTTTGGCCTATTCACCAAATTTGAAGAACCCCGAAGTTAATTTAAGTTTTGTTTAAATCGTTAAAGAGTCAACTTCCAGATTTCCAGTGTTTTCCGCTTTAACTTTTCGGTGCTTTATTATCCACTAAGCTCATCTTGAGGACCAAAAAAGTTAATAGCCTATGCTCATGTATACTTGCACTTATCACTCACATACAAATCAAGGAGTCAAAGGATAGCTGAATGTGCGTGATTACTTGTAAGCTATTGTATTGTCCAATGGTTCAATTCAAAATGCTCTTTCAATAGTGGTTGTGGTGCTGCTATAGGAGATCATTTAACTTTGCTATTGGCACATCATAAATAGATGGTTGTTATGGTGGCACCACAGGCTACAATGACAGTATTTTATGGCGAATGTTGACCTAAGGCTGGTTCGATACATGGTCCACTATTAGAGCATCTCCAATGCTATAGCTTTGAAAGACAATAATTTTTAACACATGTCAATCAATGATTGTAATGTTAATCCACGTAGGAATAATGTTAAAAGAGTAGAAATTTGATTCAAACTAGTATCTCCAATGCATCAATTTTGTAAGAAGTTATTTGTATAGGTGGACCAATTAAAATAATCATTAATACAAAAACAATAAAAAATTAAATCAAATATAAAGTGAATTGATTAGTCATCATGTTTAACATGGTGTTAGGTATTAGAAAGTGTGCTCAACATTGTCAACATTAAATGCTATCCACCTCATCATGAAAGAGCTCATGACAAGATGCATTGGAGAACAAATTAGTAACACACTTTTAAAAGTTGATGATATGGATGAATTTTTATAATGTCAAAAGCTACATTGGAGATGCTCTTAGAAGTTAGAACCCAAACTTTGAAAAGTATTGTTTTTGACCGCGCGTCGCGACGCGGCAAATTTAAATTTATAATTTTTCCTTAACAAACCTCTACTAACTAGTAGTAGCGGCGAGTAAGGGTCGATCCCACGAGGAGCAGGAATTAAATTGTGACAATCTCGTATTAATTGAATTAAACTAGGAAAACAATAAAAGGTGGGGGGGAATTGGTTTTATAAAATAAAAATAAAAATAAGAAAATAAAATAAAAATTTAATAAAATAAGAGAAGTCCAGTTTTCAGTTCAGTTATCACCCAATCTAAATCTACCGTTAATTAATTTTGACGCTTTCTTTAAATTGCTAATGAATTACCGACCCTAGCTAACAACAAGCTCTGTTAACCGAATTTTCCCTTACTGAATATTTAATCGAAATAAGCTCTTCGATTAAACCTAACTAGTGGACAACCTAGAATAAGCTCTCTAGATTTAATACACTAGCAGCATTAATTTCTAGGAAAATAGATCAGTCTAAGCAATGGACGCAAAAGCTCGGACCATTTAACTTATGCTCATGCTACCCTAGAGATGCACGACCCCTAGTTTACTACTAACGAAACAAGACAATAACAATTACGGATTAAAGCCTCGAATCTAGCAATTAAATCATGGATATTCAACCTAGCTGGCCAAACCAAATCAAACACCATAATTCATAAACGTTAAATATAGATAACATGAATCAACTCATCAACAAAAATAAATACGACGTCTCAATTAACCAACGATAAAAAATAGATCATTCAATTCATAGACAAACTGAAATTAGGGTTCAAACATCCCCCTGGATAAAAATCTAGCCTAGCATACTAGTAAAAATAAATAAAAGAAAATAAAAGAGAGAAAATAAATCTCCCTCGTGTGCGGGTGCAGCTTCCCTCCGCGTAGTGCTCGCCTCTCTCAGTCTGTGCGTGGTGTATTCTTCCCGCTGCTCTCTTTCTTTTCTCCGCTGCTCGCGTGTTCTTCTTTTTCTTTCGTAAAATAATCCCCGTAATGAGTCCTACTCTAAGCCAATGATAATTCCCCTCAAGACTCAAATTCTCCTCCATTTAGTTTTGCTGGCCACGTGTATCAACTCATCAAATTAAATTGCTTCCATCCATGATTTATTTCCATCAACTTGGTAATGTTTTGGGCCTTTAGTCACTAAATAATTCAGCACATATTAATCCATGCGTGGCCTTCATTCTCTGGTATTGGGCCGCACGACAATAGCTCACGTGAATTTCCGTCCAATGCTCCGCATCCACAAAATATTTCAAAAAGCTGAAAATAAATATAAAATAATAAAAGAAAATAAATTCATCCAAATAATAAATAGGTCGAAAAATATAAATTTGCGAAAAAATTAAGCGTGTAAAAATACACTATTAAACATATAAAGCATGCACATTTTTCGGCCTATCAGTTTTGTTCTGGTTCATATATTGTTAAACCCTGGATCAACATGTCGAAACCGTTGTTCAACTGCTGGTTTTTTTGTTATATATATATTATAAATATTTGAATTTAAGAACTAACTTCTAATGTTTAATTAGTGATACAGAGACAACTTTAACTTAAGTATTTAAAGTTGACATTTGAATCAAGCTCAAATTCCTCCCTCTTTTGCAGTTAGAAAAATTTATTTCATTTTTATATCGAAAGCCCTGAATGAAGCATTTACAAACATTTATATGTTTGATAATATAATTTAGAAAATGATTCAAACCAACAGTTCAGCCCTGTTAAAAATTGGAACACAAACGTTAGCTTTGGACTCCACCTGTGAATACGAGAGGTACATGCCGTTGGAAACTTCCTCATATTTTCCTTGCTGCCCGTGTGCTCCATCCTTCTTCACTCTGAGGTTCTCAACCCTCTCCCGATATGTTTTGCCTTTACTCTTACTCTTATCTCACACTTAAGTCTCTCCCATCTCTCAAGTTATGTTGGTTGAAGATGAGTTCTTGCGATAAAATTTTATTCAAAGTGTGAATCAAAGAGAATTTTTTCTGAAGCCTCCCTCTGTTATGCGTGTGAGTTAATGTATTGAATTTGGTGTTTATAGTAAATGCAGGCTGTTACGCTTGCTCTAGCGGAGATGGGTTGTTAGGTGGGTTGTAGCTGTATAAGTGGAACTTTTGTTTGCATTCAAATAATAACAATAAAAAGAGCAGTGTGATATTGCGAATGTGATGACGCATAATTTGTGCAAGTTCCTAGACAGAAAGGATGTCACTGGCATAATTTGTGCAAGTTCCTAGACAGAAAGGATGTCACTGGCGTAATTTATTTAAATGTTTTCAGTGTACTTTTGTCGTGTCAGTTACAACCACCGGGCATTGATCATACTTTTTGTAAATTACGGTAACATGCAAAATTATGACATGAAATTTAAGATTTATTTATGATTTCAAGAAGATTTATGCAATATGGTAATAGAATTATGATTATTGATATAATTGCAATTTTATTCACTTAACTTTGTCTTGTACAGTCGTATTTTTTCTTTTTGGGTTCCTGTACGTATATCTAACCAACCACTGACCCTCATTATGATATTGTATATCTAATAATTATATTGCTTTATACCGTTCGCTTTATTTCTTGCTTTCTACCAATTTTTCTTCCCTGTATAACTTTCTCGCAGATTTTTTTATAATCACGAATAATCTGATTAATCTAGTGGATTGCTTTAAAATTAAATTTGGGAGGATTTTTATATATTTCTCTGTCTTTGGATAGTTTCTCTGTAAAACTGAACTGTTATTTGTGAGGCGAATAAGTCATGACGAGACACAATGCATCGATGTCGCAGTTCAGAAGTACGTAAAAATTGCAGCAGTATTAGATCTGAGGGATTACTCTATTTTCTCTATGATATCAAGAAACTTATATGAAGATGCATTTAATTGTTTCCTTTTTGTTTTAGCCATTTATGCACATGAAACTATGTGAGGATATCCCATTTTTGGTCAGATCTCAATGTTCTGCCGAAAAGGAAGTTCTCCTTATCAGTGTTATTAATGGCGGATGGCGGTAAATGGCGGTTAGCCAAAAATCAGCCACAGCGGCAGCCATGGCGACCTATGGCGCCTCGGTAACTGCCATCTTCACAAATTTAGCATGGCGGATTGTAAAAAATCTGCCATGCCATGGCCGCCATTTGATAACACTACTCGTTATACACTTTTGATTATTATTGCAGCATCACGATGAGATTGGTCTAAATGGTTAATTGGTTATGCAATTTAGTGAGAACTAAGAATGGAATGGCTTGATAAGATCCTGTAAGAGAAATTTATATTTGAAGAATGATGTGATATTTGATATTTCTAGCCCAATCTTTTTTAGTTGTTTTTATTTCTTTGGCTCCTTTTGTTGATAATCATTTGGAAGTTAGTGGCATATTCGTATGGGATTGCTTAGACTTAGGTATAGAATGTTGATGTGCTACTGGCCCCAGAAGCTTGGTTTGTAGTGGAAGTTACAGGCTCTCTTTAAAAATTCAATGTGAAATTTTGGAACATAAGAAAGTGACTGGGTCTCCCGAAAATTATTATCTTTTGGGTGGCTATATAAAAGGATATCATTGTATTGGCTTTTACCTTGAACTCTTAAGTTGCTGTTTTGCTGCTCTAATTTCATTTAAACCAGATACCTCTATTCTGTAAATACTGTCTATGCAATTTTTGGTGAAAAACACCAACTCAAGCGATTAACTTTTATCATGTATCTACAGGTGGACTTATGACTGTCGTTTTATTTATCTATTTTTTTTCCCCAATAAAGACAAATAACTAATAGAAATGGAAAATAAATGCAAGCTTTGCTATTATAGTGCTGAAATCTATGTGGTATGGAAAATATATTGATTTAATTAACTATACCTTCCACTTGCTTCAAGTGGAACATAAGTTTTATGCACGCGTCACTAATATGCTGAAAATATGTTACTGAAGTAATAATTAACAACATTTTTGTTGTTTTTATTGGTGTGGTAAAAGATGCAGGTGGGTCCTCTGCCACCCAAGCTGAAAAGGAGGAGGTGGATTCTCGATCCATTTATGTTGGAAATGTAAGTTTTATTCCTTTATGTTTCTAAACTTTTTTCTTTCTTTGGTTAAATTGTCCATCTCTTACGTTGGAAAAAGGTGAAAACGATATTGAAAAAAGGCGACAACTGTGTTGAAGATTCTTTTTACTCATACTGCCTTCTGTGGTTGCTTATGCTTGCCTTTTAAATTCCTAATTCTTCCAGCGCAAAGGGTTTGCCATTGTTGTTTCTACCTGTCTATTTGAGTGAAAAGCATTTGATTTTCTTTTTCTAATTTTGTCGCGTTAGTCCTTATAAATATGCACATATATTCTTCTGATTCTTTACCAGTTAATCTCTGAGTTGATTCCTCTCTTATTACAGGTGGATTATGCCTGCACACCTGAAGAGGTGCAGCAACATTTTCAGTCTTGTGGGACTGTGAACAGGGTCACTATTTTGACTGACAAGTTTGGTCAACCCAAGGGTTTTGCTTATGTGGAGTTCGTGGAAGTTGATGCCATTCAGAATGCTCTTCTGCTTAACGAGTCAGAGCTGCACGGCCGTCAGCTGAAGGTTCTTGCACTTATCTTGGTTTGAACATAAAAATGAAAGAATTTTCCTAGACCTGATAATAAATATTCTCTCTCTTTCTTTTTTCTTAATTGCCAGGTGTCAGCTAAGAGAACTAATGTCCCTGGCATGAGACAGTACAGGGGTAGGCACCCCAATCCGTATTTTGGGTCAAGAAGGCCTTTTATGCCTGCTCCTGGCTATCCTCCTTATGGCTATGGGTGAGCAATATGACTCTTTTGCTTTTAGCTTAGAAATAATGGTTGGTCCAATTGAATGTTTTCAATGAAATAGTTTGTGTTTCATCTCCCTTACTTAAGTTCTTGCATATGCTGCTGGACAATTATCTGAACTGAACTTTTTCCCCCTGTTCGTGTGTCTAAATAGGAATGCTTTTCGAATTTATTGTTTATATGATGTCATTATTCTATAATTTGTTATGTATGTAGTGTTGTGTCATGTGTGTTTGTCCGTTTCTTGTGTTTGAGTGTGCATTTAGCAATTCCTGGTCTTTGTGCGTAACATGAAAACCGACTGCAATATCTAACTGTTCTGATTCCTGAGGCGCTAAAGGAAAACCATTAATTTACTCTCTTAGTTGCTAAACAATGTGTTTGCTTCACTGGATCACAGTTATGTTAAAACTTCACTTGGTACCCTATATAATCGGAATTCTAATGTCAATTCAATATCTACGTGCAGGAGGGTTCCAAGGTTCAGGCGTCCTATGCGCTACAGACCTTATTGACGACTCTCTCCGAGTAGGGCCCACTGCAACTGGCCGTGAAAATGAATTCTGAACGAGCAATTTGACCTTCACTCTCTTGTGAAATCATATACCATTTTCCTTCTTACTGTTTTCATCTTTGAGTCCAGATTTATTTCGATACTGAAACTTCTTTCCTACTTTAAATTGCAATTTGATGGTACTATTAATAGCTGCATTACTGAACTACAACAGGGTATATATAGTCAACAAGAGAGAAGCTCTTTTTTGTTATGTACTGTAATTTGTGTTGCTGTAGCCAGTGACCTCATATGCTTGATTTTGTAATATTTGGTGGTGTTATGCTCAGTCGGTTGTCATTAGCATTTTATCATTGATGCCATGCCGTTTACTTGAATTCGGCTATTTGTGTGGTTACACTATTAGCAGTTCTCAAGTTTTGCATGATAATGGATGTTACGTTTCAGGGGATACTGCCATTTTTACTTGCATTCTTCCTAATGCAAATTACTAATCCTCATTTTTACTTGCATTCTTCCTATAAAGAGTATCCTGCTTTACTCCACCCGTAAGTATAGGAATCATTAAAAGTCCTTCACTTAGCCTCACCACTTAGGCAGATTTTAACACTTGACGGTTCTAGAAATGAGCAAAAATTTTCAAGTGTTTCACTGAACTGTCAAAACTTAGTTTTCCCATTGAACCAAGGTTTCGGGATCTCCGATTTTCATGGTTGGGTTACCGCTAAGACCATTCTTTTGTTGTGGATTTTTATTAAGCTCATTCCTCTAACCAGTTTGTACAATTTATCTCGTTTTTTGTTTTTTGTAAACGGATCCGTTAGGTTTATCTTTGACTTCACATAGTCAACCGATATAACCCTTACACGAGATAATTTTCTTAATGAAATTAAGTCTCTAACGTTTATGTCTAGACTTACTATTGCACAAACTACTTTGTGTTCTTCCAATTGTTGATTGATAAATAATCATCTTCATGAGCACAATTTATTCCACCTAGGAATATCTTTTAGAAAATTTATAAGTCATTAGCTTCTTCCATGCCTTTAGTCCAAATTTATAAATCCGGACATCATTGTGGATCTAGCTTTATACTAAGATAATTTTCATGACACAACTCTACCCACCTAAAGTGAACACGTATTCACTTTTTGTCTTAGAGTTTTTCATGTCTAACACTCTATTTAGCGTCATCAAAATTCATCGCTTGAGTTACTTTTAAATATCTTAGTTTGCTCGCGAAAATGCAACATTGGGGCGAGTACTATCTGACAAGTACCTCAAGCCTCCAATTATTCAACATACTTTTTTCCGAGAAACTAATTATTCTCGAATTATTAGCTAAGTGTAGAGTCAATTATACATTCACTTTAGCTTGAGATTTTATCGAACACATCGATCCTCTTCAACATACATTTGACATGATGAGATTGTGTCAAAACAATTACTTTCGATCTCTTAGAAACTCAATCTAAGAAATTACACCATAATTTCACAAACATTTTCAGGTCAAAATTAATCTTCTTGGTATTCATGAACACATCATGATTATATTCCAAGATCATCATATTGTTTACATAAGACTTACGATCACAAAGAGTCGGAAATACCTTCATAGACTCATTTGTCATTCAATGAATTTGAAACCATCCGACAAAATTATTTCAACAAACTTTTCATGCCATTATTTAGGTACTTCTACCTTGACCTGAACATCCCCACATTTCAAGGTATATGTATGATTGCTTTTACTCTTTTTATAACTCAAACAGAGTTTCGTTTTTACCTTCGTGTGGTGCTTTCCATGTTCGAATACCCCCACATTTCAAGGTATATATACGAATGCTTTTGCTCTTTTTATAACTCAAACGGAGTTTCGTATCTACTTTCGTGTGGTGCTTGCAATTTTGTCGAAATAATTGCTTCTCACATAAGCATTTAGATTAATAAGAAATTGTCACCTACTCAAGAGTGATTATTTCTAAGTCTTCCACTTACAAAAAATGGAACCATAAATCGGTACAAAACCAATTTTTCTTACAGTAGTAACAGCCAGTGTAGTCACTTTGATCAGATTGCGCGGAACAACAACAAATCAAATTATCAGAAATTCTGAAAGTACAACTCAATGGTAAGAAAACTGAATTTGACATTAATTGAAAACTATATTTGACTTCTTCCGTCTTAAACCTTCTATAAGGTAATAATATTCTTACCATGGCTGAGCATTATTAGTTAAACTTTTTACTTATAAGAAAAGGCATGGAATCAGAAGTTTGTGAACAGTAGAATCAATTCAAGAAGGAAAGGATAAAAAAATTAACCAGTGAAAAAAACACTTTTTAAAAGGGTAAATATGACTTTTAAGAACGGGTTTGCGTCCGTTATAGTTGCAGCCGACATAGAAAGTATGAACTTTCAAAAACGGATTTGACCCATTATCTAAAGTTCACTTTAGATAACGGGTGCATTGTTCACTGTTAAAGAAGATATGTTGATACTTTGCATGGAAACAAATCAAGATGGTTCCATATTTGTGGAAAGAGGAATCGCGTCGCAATATTGAAGAATCTGGACATGTCAGAGCGTCTTCAATGTTCAAATATTGTTGTGGTAAATTACATGCCACATCAACACATTTAGTAACATCACAACATTCCATCCTCCAATGTACAATATGATCACAAATGTTGTGGTGATGTGGACATAATTAATGTCTACAATGTAGAGAAGAATGTAGTTCATCCACATTTTCCTCCACATTCTAACTAGCCAATGAAAATAAGAGAGAGACTTATTCTTACTATTTTCAAGTTGTTTAATTATTTAGTTAATTTTTTACTTCTAATAAAACTTTTAATATTTGGTAAGTAGATAATATTGTAGTTAGACTACAATATTGTGCATTGGAGATGATTTTTTAGTTTCATAGTCGTGAACTTAACATTTTTCCTACTTAGTTCACAACCTATTTGATTTATTGACATTTGTCATAATTTAATCTATAACAACATTAGAGCCTTGGAGATGCTCATGTGCATGGAGTTTACCAAGATATGAGAATTTAGTTCCAAAGAAGAACGAGAACATCGTGAAGATTTGAAAACTTGTTTGAACCTACATACCATTTATGGAGTTATATATAAATAGGAATCTTGTTCACGAGTTTTGAGAGAGGATACACGAGAGAATCACATTGAGTCATTGAGAGAATATTATAGAGAACTCGTGAGTTTGTTTTATTTTATATTTAGTGCTCGAATTCCCGTGTGTCAGTTCATCTGGGAATTTCAAGAATAATTTGATTATTCTACTTGGTGCTAGAACGAACATCTTTTCATTACTGGGAGGGATTTGTATGTGCAGCGTAAGTCCACGTCGTGTCCGAAAGACTAGTAAAGTAGGTAGAGTGCAAAGTATGTTAGCCAAAAGAAATATAGACATATAATTACTATTTGTAATTGTTGATGGAATTCTTACTTATGAAAGATTGAGAGAGAGTTAAAAGCTCTCCTAAAAATTCATTTTTAGTTATTGTTATTCAAAAAATTTATAAACTACATTGTTTTTAGTATGAGCTATTTCATCTACTACTAATAATTCCTTAATACAGGAAGCCCATAAACACTCGACCTATATTCAACACAAGAGGAAGACTCAACGTATTACCAAAACGAAGCCTGATTTATGAGAATAAACATCTAACAGAGACATACTTTTTATTTGGAGTTTGAAGTATATTTGAAATATATTTTTGAGAATACACAAAAGTTATTCAGGAATATTTAGATTTTAAGTTAATCAAGTGTTTTTATATTTTTAAAGTCCTAATAACTTTCATGGAATAAAAGTCTACGCCTATATGGACACATAAGAAATTAACACATAGAATTACAAACCAACACAAGTTGACACATAGGCTCGGAAAATTCTGTATTTTTACATAGGAGAATTTGCCACATAGTTCATGTCTTGACTCTTAACTTCTGAAGGTGGGAGAAAAGATCAAACTGATTTTCAAATATCTACATACAATTTTTGAACATGCTTACCATACTACATTATAAACTTAGATCGGATACAATTCCTAACATCCGTGCAATTATACTTCAGAGTTCAGCCAAATGATTTTTAACTTTAACAATTCTCGTGTGATAACATAAGATTACATTTTGAAAGCTGTCAAACAAAATATAATCACAAGAAATTTGGAAGATGTTAAAATGCTAATATAATTTCATAAATAATAGCAGCAATTTTGACATCTGTTCTAATTTGCCTTGTGAAAATACAAAATAGCCGCACAGTTCCCACATCGAAAAGGAATACACCTCAGGTTGCAGAATGTCCAGTATAAATGACCACGTAAACATTTGATAGTGGCACGCAGCTGCGTGGTGAGCACATAGCGAACTATTCTTTCGCCTTTTACTAAAGAATACCGTGTGCTCTCCACACTTCAAGCAGCATACGCCCATTTTTGGAGGGGATCCACTTCCTTTTGGTAAGTGGCCCTACAAATTTAGTGAAAAATTTTCAATAATATGATTTTATTATTTACAACTGATTCTAAACAAACAAATTTTGGAAAATATAATTTTTGAACTCAGGAACGATTTTGAATAAACCGAACTCAGAGTTACTAAAAAAGCTTTAGCAATCTTATTCTAACACAACTAACCTCAAACTTTGACTAACAATTCTAAATTTTAGTTCAAATAATAGAACGAACATGAACAATGTTACATAAATGAATACGGGCTCAAAATGCTCAAATCTCGGCTTGTTCGGTTCGATTAACACCAATCTCAAGTATTTATCTCATGATTAATTTAGTATGATTTGGGACCATTCTTAACAATTCGAACTGTCAACTGTTTTGTCTTTACAAGATTATTTGCAGTGAGTAGGTCACTTGAGTCCAGGAGATGCCGGAGCTGATAATATATTGGCCCTAGATAATTGGAATCTATATTGATTTATATACTTATTAAGTGCACAAACTAATAGATTTTCAAGCTAAAAATTTTATACATGTCCCTAATGGCATAAGGCATCTAGTTTAGCTTGACTAATTGGTGAGCTCAAAACTAAGGGAACATATTTTTAGGAATAAGTTAACCAGAGAAAAATCAATTTGCTTTAGTTTTTCGCTTTTTTGGCACCATTTATGCATCACTACTTTTGGTATTCGCAGCTATGTACACATTTTCTCGTGTATATAGAGTAAAGGGCTCTGGTTTTTTTCACTTTGAACAATGTATTGAATATATGCGAGAAGCTCAAACTAAATTGAATATCAAGATCAACTATAAACGAACCTTAATGCGATGATCGTTGCAATACAGTCTCCTTTTAACTGCAGGAAATCTAACTATCGACGTTGGTCATTAATAATTGAATATATAGCAGCTAAACCTTAAAATGGAATTTTAAATTTCAGAAGACGTAAAAAAAGCTGATGGCTATCAAACTTTTTTATTACTGCTAGTCTGACAAAAGGCTGAACAATGCAAACTCACGTCCCACATGGGAAGTAGAACGTTTTTTAACTGGGCGCTGGATGTGTATAATGATAAGGAAGTGCATGGGATTACATACTTACCTGGGCGGGGTCAACGGGTGATCAAGATGGCCCATGGCCTAGGTTGGCGACCTACATTGCACTTGGGAGGGGCGCCCGCCTAAGGTCGGCCCAAGTGGACGAGCCTACGTCATAATTTGTGGTTGTGGGGGCCAGCTTGAGTCTGATTCAGTTTTCCCACGACATAGCTAGATAACACTTGCTGGCCACATCATCATTCTGAATATGAAAGTTCCAAGTCTCGCAGGCTACAAAATAGACACAGTGAAGAATCCCACTTTGCAGCTTGCCTTGCATTTGTCACGTAACGAGTGCCAATAAAATTTTTCTTTTGTAGCAGATTTTCATACTTATTATGCCATTCACCTCACCTACTACAATTACATAATTATCGATCATATTCAATCAAATTCATTCTATATCTACAGCTATTATCTAGCAGTAAGGTATTTTATAATCTGAAAGTATTGTGCAATTATGACCATAGCATTTTTAATGACAGCTAATATGTAGAAAAGAAGTAAAAAACAAAAAAAGAAAAGAAGTTTATAAGTTATAACTGCAACTATCAGAAAAGTTCCCTACTGTGGATGGCTGCCCATCTTGCACGAGGTGTAAGACCTTTTCGTGGAATCGAAACTCGAATAATGACCCTCGATCTATATGTATGCATAAAAATTGTAACTGTTTTCTTTCAGTCATAAACCCAAGATTCATATGTACTTACACAGAATACATGGAGTAATGATGCCTTGAAGTTGCTGTGGCCTTGAAACAAAACAGGAAAAGCGAGGATCTCGTATCCCACATGGGAATTAGAATGTGTTTTAACTGGGTGAGGGTTGTATATAATGATAAGGAAGTGCACTGAGCTACATACTTACCTGGACGGGGTCAATGGGTGATCAAGAAGTCCCATGGCCTAGGAAGGCGACTTCCATTGCACTTTGGGAGGGCGCCTGCCTAAGGTCGGTCCAAGTGGCCGAGCCTACGTCGTAATTTGTGGTAGTGGAGGCCTGCGTGCGCGCGGCCTCTGCCCAATCCCAAGTTTAAATTCAGGTGTTAATGGGAGTAGTAGTCAATTATAGTCCCATTTCACACAAACTTTGCTTTAACATGTATTGAATGTTAGAAGTTTTTTGTAATAAATTTATAAGAGAAATGTGCAATGTGAATGATGCCCCCACGGTTCAAGGTCATTTCTCTGGACCTAGGCCGGAGAAAGCCTGGGCTGGACTGGTCAATACCCCTTCAGTGAATGAAGGGGGCACGCTACAGGAGATGTCATCGAGTGGCTCTTCAATCTGTACGCTGGCTTCCGTATGGTCATTCCATGCAAAGGCAGGCCCGGAAACAACCATCACCTCACCGTGATTGACGAAACCTAAGAATATTTACGATCAATAGGGNTCATTGAACATAATAATCTTCTCGATAACTTATGCGAGACATAATTGTTATCAGATAGTTAACTGGACGAACAATTGTGCAATTGGTTACCACTATTTTAGGTTCGTCAAAAAAAAAATTGGGAGGGTTGGATACAAATTATTAATTTAAGCTCCACTATTCAACTAGTCCAAGTTAAGTATTTTTAATATTATTAATAAAATTAAATAAATACTAATTAATTATTACTACAAATTTTTCAACAAAACTCACTATTCATCTACTAACATATTTTTAATTATCAAATATTCACATTAATTATTTTACTACTTTATCATATTAAATTTAATTATCACATTTTAATCCATACTCACAAAATTTGAAATCAATATATTTTTCCACTAAATCAATTTTTTTCACTCTCAATTCACTTGATCAAATAAGTCAAATTCACTAACCAACTATAATCTATTATTCTATTTATGTTTGTTTGTAAGGGCACTTTGGACACTTAAATTACATATTTTGCCATTATTTATGGATAAGGTTGCATCACAATAATTCATTCATTCAAGATTGAAAAAGTCGCACATAATTTTCCTCCTGACCAGGTCATTTAAATAAATCGGCCCTTATCATTTGCGTGCAATAATTAATCTTGTTATATTAGTCCAGAGCAAAGAAGTTCATCGTCCTTTTTCTCAGTTCTTCACCTTTTACCACTTCATATATTACTCATTTATCGGCAGCAGGACATTTTTCTGCAATCTAAAGCAAATGAATGCTCTTGCTGCCACCAATCGGAACTTTCGTCGGGCGGCCCGCATCCTCGGCCTTGACGCCAAGATCGAGAGGAGTCTTTTGATCCCATTCAGAGAAATTAAGGTTTT